AAAACAAAAATTTGAAAAAATATTCACAAACCTGCGGAAAAATGCAAGTTTCTTCACTTTGATTATTTTGACGAGAGCCTGATTCCACCACGCTGCCTCACATTTAAATTGTTGGATGGTACTGGTTTTTGTAATCGGCGATCTATTTGTATCGATATCATCAAAGAGTGCGGGATCTGATGTTTTCCCCTCTAGTCATACACAGTGGCAGCTTGACCATCCTTTCCCCACACCTCGTGTCTACAATCTCGGCTTATTTCCAGGCGCTTACCAATTTTCTCTTGACTTGCGCTGATTATGAGATGCGATTAGTTTAAGTTTAAGGCCTTGATCAATATATTTTATTTTTAAATTTAAAAGTGGAAGGAAGTTTAAAAGTCGCCTGGAGAAACTTCAAAGGAGCTGCGCCAACCCGGCCTGGGAGTAAACTATCTGACATCGCCAGGTATCAGCCCAATGACTTAAAGGCTGCCGAGCGGTAGTGAGATTTTAATCTTGTGAGGAATCACGCTCAAATCTACATGATAAATTTTATATCTTCGCTGGCCCAACGATTGATGAGTATCGGGTTTAAAGAAGCCTTTCGTCTACAGGGTCCTTGACACATACAGGCTAGCTTCTGATCCTAGCTTCTGATCCTACCTTCTTTCAATATCTTACCAATTAAACCCTTCAGATGTGCTCATGATAGGAACTTTAGCAAGTGGAGGCATTGCATTTTCGCAGTTATTCGTCACACACCCTCTCACGTACACATACACACACCCACACATTCACATACACTCACACACCCACACACACACACGCACACATACACCCCCCCCACACACACACACTCACTTTCATTCACACACCCGCACACACATCCTCACCCATTCACACACCCACACCCTCATAGACTCACACACCCACCAAAAACACACATTCACAATATACACTCACACGTACACACCCATACAAAACACTCAAACATCCGCACACCCAACCATACACACACTCACATACTCTCACACACCCACCCACACGCCCGCACACCCACCCACC